GTTTCCATGATGCTAAACTGGTAGCTGTGCATTTCCATTACCTGTCAGCAACATTAGCTTGAAAGCTAAAGAAGCAAACTTCAGATGCGAAACATCGGCTGATCGAATAAAGTTACCAAACTGTACTTGAGCTTCACCTGAAAACTTGAATATGGTGTACCTTTAAAAATGATTTGAGGTACTTCATTGGACTTTAAAGTCCACTAATGTACCTTTAAAGCCTTACTGTAAAAGCTAATTAAAGCTACACTACATGCACCTTCCCAGGTAGAATGTCTTCACTAATGATACAGAAGATGTGCCCTTGATGATTCCACACCAGAGAGAAGGGAAATATAGTTTGGTACCTTTGATTTGGGAAGAGGAAAATGGCAGAACTGCAACTTTAATTTAACCACCCTGCTGAAAAGAAAAGAAAAAACTCTCAGAATGTGTAATGGTTTTAATGGTTAAAATGGGAATTGTGTTGATTTTAATGGAAACTGTAATGGTCTCTGTGGGTCTCTACTGGTAATTTGTTGCCTTCTATCAGTGGCATGTTATGTCTACTGGATACCATTAAGGACCAGTAATGGTAATGGTTTTAATGGTTAACAGCTGATGGTTTTGTAGTGGAAGCCATTAGAATTTCTGTGATGGTTTCTATGGTTTCTTTCAGAGGGCATATGACTGTCGTTTCGACACAGTGCACGGTGATCAGGTACTGTAGGAGCTGATGGGACACTGTACTGTTTGCGTTGCCGGGATGATGCCAAATGGCACGTGTTTAACATTTAACAGTGTACACCCGGTGAGCTCACGCGGTTAAACACACACCGCCCCCCCACCATCTCTCTCTCTCTCTCTCTATCTCTCGGTCTCTCTCTCTGTTTCTCGCCCTTTCTCTCCCAGAGCAAAGCCAGAAGTTGAATCCACTGACCGGAGAAGCACACAGCAGACACAGCAGAGATGATGCCGCCCTCGCACGCGCTCGCCGCCGCTCTCACCGTTCTGCTCGCGCTTCAGCAGTCGGCAGGATTCTGGCTTTTTAACGTCATCTTTCCGCCGAACGCCGGACCGCGCGAGGGGAGCAACAGCACGCCGCCTCTGATCATCGGTAAGCTCTTGGCAAATAAACGGCAGTGCGCGAGCTTCTAACCCATCATAATGAATCAGTTATCCATGCACAGCAAAACCAGCCTAGAATTTACTGGTCAGGCATTAAATTAACTGTTACTGCCAACTGAACTCTTACAGTATAGATTTAACGCCACTAGTGTTAACTTCTGCAGTATTAAATTAAACCTCACCCAAAGTATTTAACCCCACAGTGCTCCATGAACTATTATAGCGTTAAATGAACACCAGCAGTGACTAATTAACCCCTACAATGATGAATTAAAACTCAATTTATTTAACCCCTACTGTGCTGTATGTACTTTTACAGTGTTAACACCTTCAGTGATTAATTAACCCTTACGATGCTGAATTAATTATTTAATAACCAATTATTAATTATTAAATTAAATTATTGTTAATTAATTATTAATTATTAATTATGTAATTCCATTCATTTTTACAGCGTTAAAATAACACTGCCAGTAATAAATTAACATCCGAATGAATAACTATTGATTTAACCCTTAACTCCCACACTATTTAACTCCTATATTGTTGCATAAATTTTACACTGTTAACACAAGCAGTAATGAATTAACATCTGAAGTGTTGAATTAACCCTTATAGTGTTGAATTAACAACTAAAGTATTTAGCTCGTACAGTGTTGCATGAACTTTTACAGTGTAAAAATAACATGAGAAGTGTTGAATTAACCCTTACAATGTTGAATTAACACCAAGATTATTTAACATGTATAATCTTGCATGAATTTTTACAGTTGCATTAATACCAGCAGTAATGAATTGACATCTGCATCATTGAGTTAACTTATCAATTCTTTAATAAAGTATTACAATATAGAACTAAAACCAGTATTGTTGAATTAACTCCTACACTGTTGAATTAACTCTGTGTTGAATTAAAGTGATACCCACAGAGTCTTACATTATTTAATCGTCTCTTACAGTGGAGATTGAAAACCTACAATGTTGAATTAATTCTTGATGTTGCATTAAAAGAGGTCGTATTGCATTATCTTACAGTATCAGTTTGTGTGGGTTTGAATTAACATGTACAGTATTTAATCAGCTATATCAATGTGAGATTCACTCTTTGTGTAGTGTTGAACCCCAACGGTGTTACATTAACACTTACAGCGTTTAAATACATTTGCTGAGCGCTAGTCATCTCTGTAAACAGTTCTTTCAATGCTGCAGGAATGTTGCAAAATTCAGCACTGAGTTTTTACACCCACTCCTTTGACCTTTGTCAAATTGGTGTGATTTTAGTTCCAGGGAATATAGGCAACCGCCTCGAAGCCAAAATAGACAAACCCACGCTGGTCCACTGGCTCTGCTACAAGAAGACTGAGGACTGGTTTCCGCTGTGGATTGACCTCAACATGTTCATGCCCATTGGCATTGACTGCTGGATTGACAACATGAGGTGAGGACACACTTCATAAACTTAATAAAATGAAATAAAAGTGAATAAAGTCAGTCATTTCACTGTTATACCCAAATACAGTGGGACAAAACATGAAGTCTCCAGGACTGTGACAAAACAAACAGAGATGAAACAGGAGCTTTGGATACACTACACATAGTGCAAATAGTATAACAAGACAAATGCAGGCCAGGACATTATTCATAGATGCAGAGAATACACTATTTATACAAAACAACAGAAGACCATAGGCGTGGACTGGCTCTGCAAATGACATATAATTATAAACCAATTAACATGTATTTTTAGCTTTAATAGGACACTTGTGGCTCTTCAAGTAATCATGTATTTCTCATTAGGCCAGGATACCTCAATCTACAACCCTTAAGGCAAGAGTTCCCAAACTAGGGGTCACGAGCCCATGTGGTGCTGTTTGATTGGCAAATATAATCTCCTTTTTTGTTTTACTCATTTATTTTACAAATTAATATTACAAATATCACTCTAACTACAAAAACGGATTTTGTTTGCTATCATTTTGAAAGGGTACTTGAGGCAACACATTCAAGCAAGCCACATTTAAATCTGTTTTAGGCTGTTTTAGTCTTTTTTTGCAATCTTGACATGAGGTACTAGCGTAGGAGTTCAGCAATACAAATAGACAAATTTCTCTGGCCAACTACCTCAGCTAGTTCCTCAACAACATCAAATGACAAATATGAGGAAATGTTTCTAGAATATGGAGTTACAAGCATCACAGCAAATAACCTCCACATCACAGAGAAACCAAAATGTAAAGGCCTGAGATCACAGAAACTGTATAATGTCTATTCGGGTTTGTTTACCTAAAAATTAAGGAACCTCTGTCTTAAGGGTTCTTTGGTTTATTCAATTAAATTCAGTTTTATTATCAGACATTTTCACAAAGCATCTTTACAGAAATCCAGATGTAGACTTTGATTTCTAATGAACAAGCCAGAGGTGACAGTGGCAAGAAAACAACATGAGGAAGAAATCATGAGAGGAACCAGACTCAAAAGGGAACCGATCTTCTTCTGAGTGAGAACCAGAACCAGACAGTGGGATTATAAATCATTACAGTTTACAGATGTGGAAGAGTAAAGACAAGCAGTACTAAGTGTGTTGAAAGGGTGTTGAGTATGAGCAGATTGGAAGTAAGAGCCCTGGGATGAGTCTTTATGATTACAGCAGCAGCAGGTCTACAGTATCCAGGTGATATTATCCACTGAAGCAAGAGTGAGAGACTGGGGCATAAACTTTAGGTTTTATGTATATATATATATATATATATATATATATATATATATATATATATATATATATATATATATATACATATCAGTAGAACACCTATAGGAAGCAAAGAACCCTAGAAGAACATTTTTGTGTGGTGTGCAGTGGTGTGTCTGTTGTTCATGTGTTGTTCAGGACTATAACAACCTCCAGGCAGATTTTTGCCTTTCTTCCAGCAGTGCATGGAGGGAAAGTCAACACATGTGTTTAGAACATAGCACTCATGGATGCTCATGAACAGATGTTTCCTGTTTTTCTTCATCATCAGATAATCCAAATTGCTGATCATTTCTTTGTACCACCAGAGGCGAGTCATTACCGTTAGCATAGTTGTTTCTGTGGCAGAAATGATGTGAGGATACTTAAGGTAAAAATACTCTGTTAAGAGGAAACGATATATTAGAATATTTAAGGAATTTAAAAAACTCAACAGAGCATACTGTTGTAGGAAAATAATCAGTAAGGGGGTGGTGTGATGTAGCCTGATACGATTTGGAGTTACAGTTACCACCCTGAATTTGATTACTTTTCTATAATAGCACAAATAAAGAAGCCTTTATTTGTCACATATACATTACAGAACAGTGAAATTCTTTTCTTTGCATATCCCAGCTTGTTAGGAAGGTGGGGTCAGAGCAGTGAAGTGACGTGTGGCCAAGTATGGTGACCCATACTCAGAATTTGCGATCTGCATTTAACCCATCCAAGTGCACACACACAGTAGTGAACACACACACGGAGTAGTGGGCAGCCTTTTTTGCTGCGGCGCCTGGGGAGCAGTTGGGGGTTTGAGCGTCTCACCTCAGTCGTGGGGTTGGTGGTATTGAGGGTGGAAGAGAGCGCTTGTCATTCACTCCCCCCACCTACAATCCCTGCCGGCCTGAGACTCAAACCCATGACCTTCAGGTTCACCTTCGGGTTACAAGTCCGACTCTCTAACCATTAGGCCACAACTGCCCCAGAGTCACAGAGTCACAGAGTCAGCCATAATATGGCACTCCTGGAGCAGAGAGGGTTAAGGGCCTTACACAAGGGCCCAACAGGTACAGCTTGGCAATCCTGGAGCTTGAACCCCCAACCTTCTGATCAGTAACCCAGAGCCTTAACTGTCGAGCCACCACTGCCCAATGGTGGCACCAGCTGCCGAAACCCAGGATCAAACCAGGGATTTAGGTCTAATGCTCTCCCAACTGAGCTATTTCGCTGCTGTTAACAATGATACATGTTAAATTATTAAAGAATGACATTTGTGGAATATCCATGAAACAAGTTAGATTTTGTTATCACTTACTATAGTAACTATAAACAGTTGTTTCCTCACATCCTGTCTTTTTTCTTTCTCTTAATGTTAATAAGACATGCAGCTCGTCATGCTACAGAGAAACTGCTAAGAGCAAAGTCCTAAAGACTTTCCTGTGGCGGAAAACTTACTGACCATTACAAAGCACTAAGACTGGAGACTCCTTGCATAAATGTTAAATAAATATGTACAACTTCAACATATCAATAATTACACATCTTTTATTTTTTAGATCTGTTTTTATTAGGCTTAGATTATGTGGAGAGTCCACCATTCAGGTCCCTGGTACAGAGCTGTTACGATAGGATCAATAATGTATTAGAACCAGCATATTAATACACACCTGTGATTTGAATTACACCCGAAACTATTGTCAGAGCTAATGTTATAGAAAATGAATCAACATTTTCTGACCAATCTCAGTTGAGAAATTCAGCAGTGCTGTGGTATAAATTGCTATAAATATCTGCTTATTATAAAATCAACTGGTTTCCCATCCTACAGTTTCAACAGCACCTAGTAGAATGTTTATATTCAATTAACTTCTTTTGAATATATAAAATACACTATATTTGTTTATATGTGCATGAACAATTTACCAACAGCTATTGCCAGAGGTAAGGTATGGTACAGGGACCAATAAACAATGTAAATTTACCTTTCTAGGCTCTTAAACTCAAATTGCAGTGTTAAAACCTGAAGTTAAAACTGAAAAGTCCTGAAAGTACCACCTAAGTGACATGCATTTGTTCCCTCAAATGTATGAAATTGTCCAATAGGTTTGAGGAACCTTGGAAATAAAATCACCATTCTTAATGATCTGTTTTAGTCAAGCACTATTGACTAATTCTTCACACTATGGTGGTAAGTGCTGAGCTAACATGGAGAGCTTTCCACCAGCAATTAACCTTTTGTTTTTGGAGTGTTCTCCGACATCAACAATGTCAGCAAATGGACTCCAGTTGTCAGCATTTCACACATCCTATCTTGTGTTGTAGGATCGTGTACAACCGAACGACTCACAGGACTTCCAACTCTGCTGGTGTGGAAGTGCGTGTCCCTGGATTCGGCCAGACGTATACTATAGAGTTCCTGGATAACAACAATCTGGCAGGTGACTGCTCCGACACCAATATCACTCATTTACAGTTAGCGAAAGGGAACTCATTAGATACATTAATCAGGTTGAAAATGTGGCTATAGACGAATGACATTGTAAAAATTTTCATTTTCATAATTTTCCACCTGGCATAAATGTAGTCGAAAATCCAAAACATTTTAAGTGTGTATCATTTGCTTCTTTAGTTTTACACTGGAGCTACAAAGGTAATGTTGCTAACAAGTACTAGAAATCTATCTTAGCTAAAATCTTTTCTCCAAACCAATGCCTAGGTCCAGGGTTGGAAAATACTTGAGTAATTAGTACTTCGTTACTATACTTAATTATTATTTTTGGCATATTTATACTTTACATGAGTGTTATTGAAATTGGTCACTTGTACTCTTACTTAATTACATTTCAAAGAAAAAAAACGTACTTTTTTCTCCTTTTTACTTTCACTTAAGTATTTTTCTAGCCTATACTTCCATTTTTAATTCAGTAAAATTTTGACACATTATTTATACTTTCACGTAAGTGTAATTTCTCACTATTTTGTCCACTTCTGCCCAAATCTTGATATACATATTTTTATACACCATTGCTTAAAATACATAATGTCTTTTTTAAATATTGTGATATTACCAAAGAACTGTGGCTTAATGTAGGTATTTCTGGTAAGCATTTTCGAATGAGACAGCCTTACATTACACCAAACAGATTGAATAGCAAACACGTCTAGGCTGACTGATTACCTTTGCGGTAAGAGAATATCTATGTAAGATAGATTTTTACCCAAACCATCTTTTTGAGATTGGTGAACTGTGAAAGTTCATTCTGAATTACATTTGTCATTGATGGCAGAATTTAAATTGAACAGAACGAGTCCAATCCTGTGTTCAGCTCTGAGATTCTCCCCCTCTCTCCTTCCTTTCTGACGTCCTTCTGTTTGTAGGTTATTTTCACACCATGGTTGAACATTTGGTCAACATTGGATACGTGCGCAACAAGACGGTTCGAGCAGCACCGTATGACTGGAGGATTGCCCCAAGTGAGTCAAACCTCTTTCTCGCTCTGAAGTTCATATAGATTATAAATTTGACAGTGTAAGATTATCCAAGACACTCGCTCTCATATTTTGTGTTTCATCGTCTAGCGACCCCTTAAACTGGTAGGTCCAGATTTATAGTCCCTCATTCTCATCACTACATAGCTTTCCTATTAATTTTGCTGTAGTTACTGAATAATTCATAGAAGCTACTGAACAATATGCTTTAGCATGAATATCTGAATGGATATTACCCTGGTGGTGGAATGGTAGTGCAGTGGGTAGTGTTGCCGCTTTATACAGCTCCAGGGTACCCAGTTCATTCCGTAGTTTGGGTTACAAGGTCTAGATTATGAGACCACGTGAACAGATATAACCCTATCTATCTGACATCCCATCTGTGGTGAATTCTCCTGCCTTGCGCCCAGTGTTCCTGGGATTGGCAGGATCCACTGCGATCCTGACCAGGATAAAGCAGTTACTGAAGATGAATGAATGAATGAATGAATGAATGAATGAATGAATGAATATTATCCTGGTCATAGCCATGGTGGGTTTAGAGAATTATCCTGGGAACACTGGGCATGAGGCAGGAATACACCCTAGATGGGAAGTCAGTCCATCACAAAGCACCACACACACATTTACATATATTCACACACTCATTCACACCTATGGACAAATTAGCATAGCCAATCCAACTACACACATGTTTTTGGAAGGTGGGAGGAAACCAGTGAACCCAGAGGAAGCCCACACAGACATGAGTAGAATATGCAAAACTCAGCACAGACAGTAACCTGAGCACAAGATCAAACCAGAAATTCTGGAGCTGTGAGGCAGTAAGGCAACACACTGCATCAACATGCCATCAGCTGGGAGTTTACAGGGTTGTTTGTCTAATCAACTAATCAGTTCAATAGATCAGAACATAGACATCAATGACATTTAAAATTAGCCACTTGTTCTGGGGACTTCATTAGTCCTATTGATGAAGACCTGATGAAGAACCTCAGATGAGTGATGAAAACTAAAGTTCATCAGTTCTTCTTCATCAGTAGAACCAGCCAAGGCCACCAAATGAGTGGTACCACTCGTACTGGCACTCCCAATGATCTGGTTACCTGAACCCTTTCCAGTTGCATGTTCCGGATTGTGTGTGGTGTGTTCCAGATGAGCAGGCTGAGTATTTCGCACGCCTGAAGGGCCTTGTGGAGGAGATGCATGATGAGTTCAAGCAGCCCGTCCACCTGCTGGGACACAGCATGGGCAGCCTTTACATCCTCTACTTCCTCAACCAGCAAAGCCAGGCCTGGAAAGATCGCTACATCAAGAGCTTCATCTCACTGGGAGCGCCGTGGGGTGGAGCTGTGAAGCCCCTCAGAGTTTTAGCATCAGGTAACCAAAACAAGATATTATTATTATTGGCTGTAATTTAGATCATAGGTTGAGACTCAGGGTTTGTTCTGTTGCACCCAACACACCTGCGTGGTAAAGATGAGGAATGTGTTAGGAATTGGCATAATTGGCATCTATTGTATTAACTAGCTTATGTTAGTATTTACTACTTGTATTTTATCTGATTTTGTGTAACAGTCCAGAAGTGGGCTGTGCTTGACTGCTGTAACAAGGCCAATTTTAATTTTCTGATTCTATCCATCCACCCCCAACACCCGGGCGCCGCAGCAAAAAAGGCTGCGCACTGCTCCGGGTGTGTGTACATGGTGTGTGTGTGTTCACTACTGTGTGTGTGCACTTGGATGGGTTAAATATAGAGCACACATTCCGAGTATGGGTCACCATACTTGGCTACATTTCACTTCACTTAATTCATCCATCCATTCATTTATTTCTATATATATCTGCCAGCCTGCCTCCATGTCTATTTCTCTGTCTGTCAGTCTCTCTGTCTCTCTCGTTCTCTCTCTCCCTTGCTCACGTTCTCTCTCTCTCTCTCTCTCTCTGTGTATCAGTGGACAGACTGGACTGGATGACTGGATGCACTTTCTCATGCATCACAAATATCCTGCTAACCTTTATCATTTTCTTTTGCGATCAACTTTTTTTTCTGTTTTAATCTGATCTTTTTGATGTCCTCTTTATTACCTGATTTCAGAAGCTGTTAACGCTATAAACATTGTCATTAGGCCATATATCTAGCAATGCTTTTGTTTCTGTCATTTGTCTCACTTTCCATCTTTAATTCTGACAGGTGGATAGTGAAAGGTTAAATGTATCACAAAATCAGTAGAAGTAGGGGGAGACTGGGGATGGTTATAACAATGAGTTAGTTGTAACAGCACCAGTTGCACCAATCAGGGATAAGCTAGAGCCACATGATCACTCTTGCACATGCCCACCTCCTTCCTGATCTCACATCTGCAATTTCATGGCTATGTAAGCAAATTTTTAAAAAAGTTGTTCTAATGCAAATTTCATAGTGTGTGCTCCATTTTTTTTTTTTGCTTATTTCCTCTTATTGTTACAACTTACCCCAGCTAGTGTTACAACTTGTTGTAACAGTGGAACTCTTTGTATTTCACATCAATTCATGAAGCCTGTATTATTATTAAAGAGGATGACTGCTATTTGTAGTAGACAAATGTAGGCACTTTGTAGCTAGATTTCAGAGATCTATTGCCAAAACTCTTAGAGTTACAGGTGCTAAGATCATCCTCAGTCTCCCCTAAACAAAGTATCATTACATAACAGTGTACGCAGGACTTTGGCAGCTTGTCCTGGGACTTAAATTAAACCCAG